GATGCAGTTCCCATCTTCAAAAAAGGAAAAAAAATAGATCCAGGAAACTACAGACCTATCAGCCTGACCTCAATACCAGGGAAGATTCTGGAAAAGATAATCAAGCAACGAATCAGAAAATATCTAGAAGCAAACAAGGTAATAACCAAAAGCCAACATGAGATTGTTAAAAACAGATGCCAGACTATGACAAAGTGACAAAATTAGTTGACCAGAGGAATGCTGTCAATATAATTTACTTAGACTTTAGTTAAGGCATTTAATAAAGTAGACCATAACCTACTTGTCAGATCCATGCATCTGCCATTCTTCAGTGGAAGAAGGGGGGAAGGTTGATACAAGTAATCCTTTTTGATGTAACCTGAATATCTTAATTCTTGTTTTGAATCTGTATAAGTGTCAGGATTCCAGCAATTGCTCTAATTAAATCATGATTCTCTGGGCCAAATTTCAAAAAACTTCAAAGGATTCATTAGAGGTGACATACTGGCACTGCCCTGTGTGAAGCCAACTCTGGCTTATGTAATTTACAGTCACCTGTGACCCTGTTTCCCCCCTCTCCCCTGGGTGTCTCATAACCAGATTCTCCAATTGAGCACATTCACAGGCTGGATGTCATCATTCATGTTCTCCAATTAAATATATTCGTGGGCAAAAACTCTGGTATTTTAGTTACAATCTTTTAAATATAAGAGTTCGAATGTACTTTTGCTTTCAACTGCTCTTCCAGATTTCCTTCCTCCCACCCTTTTTATGGCAACTACTAAAACAGGCATAGGAATATTTTATGAGTTGACATTAACTTGCACATGATATACAACTGGGGACTGAAGCTCAGATGCCTGGAAACTTGTCACCTCTTGGAGAAGGAGCCATAAAAATTCCAGCTCCAAAAGAAACTTCATGGGAAGCTCTTCTCAACTACAGTCCCAGGAAATGGGGAAGAGGGATTAACATGTTGCTTCTTTTTATTGATGAAATCCACACCGGACTAAGGGGAGGGGTTCTAACTCCCTTTATCTAAGCTGCATGCCTGGAGGCATATTAGACCCTGCTTTGAACATCACCTGGATCTTTTCCTTTTCAATGAAGAATTCCTTTTGAAATACTCTGTTTTCAAAAGTTCATTCTTATCGTCTGGAGGGGAGAGATCTGGGCCTTACATAAAGCAGGGTCTGCAACAGTGGTCAACCTGGAGAAGATTTTTTTTCCTTTCAAAATTTTACTCTACCGAGAGGACCCTGCAAAAAATGTCTGAACACAGCAACGAGCAAGGGGAAATTGCAGACGACACCAAGCTGGCAGGAATAGCCAACACTCCAGAAGATAGGCTTAAGATACAGAAGGATCTTGAGAGACTTGAACATTGGGCGCTATCTAACAAAATGAAATTCAATGGTGAAAAATGTAAGGTTCTACAGTTAGGCAAGAAAAATCAAATGCACAGGTACAGTATATATGGTACCTTGCTCAATAGTAGTAACTATGAGAGGGATCTCGGAGTCCTAGAGGACAACCATTTAAATATAAGCCAGAAGTGTGCAGCAGCGGCCAAAAAAAGCCAACACAGTTCTAGGCTAGAGGTATAGAATCAAGATCACATGAAGTATTAATACCACTTTATAATGCCTTGGTAAGGCCACACTTGGAATACTGCATTCAGTTTTGGTCGTCATGATGTAAAAAAGATGTTGAGACTCTAGAAAGAGTGTAGAGAAGAGCAACAAAGATGATTAGGGCCCTGGAGGCTAAAACATATGAAGACGGTTGCAGGAACTGGGTATGTCTAGTCTAATGAAAAGAAGGACTAGGGGAGACATGATAGCAATGTTCCAATATCTCAGAGGCTGCCACAAAGAAGAGGGGGTCAACCTATTCTCCAAAGCAGGACAAGAATCAGTGGGTGGAAACTAATCAAGGAGAGAAGCCATTTAGAACTAAGGAGAAATTTCCTGACAGAACAATTAATCAGTGGAACAACTTGCCTCTAGAAGTTGTGAATGCTCCAACACTGGAAGTTTTTAAAAAGATGTTGGATAACCATTTGTCTGAAGTGGTGTAGGGTTTCTTGCCTAGGCAGGGGGTTGGACTAAAAGATCTCCAAGGTCCCTTCCAACTCTGTTATTCTATTCTATTCTAAACTGGGAAAGGACAGTGTGAAGATTGTATTGTGTCACATTTATTGGCAAAATATACTGGGAGAAATAGAAACTGGAATTAAAATTGCAAGGAGAATGATCAAAAACTTTAGCTATCCTGAGGGAATCTAAGTGAGGAAGACTTGAGTTTCTTGCTGAAGATTAATTAGAGCTTAGAAACTAAATTCCTGCTCAATAAAAGTATGAAGATGTTAGCTGGGCAATGCTAACTAGCAGTGTCTGCATAAAGGACCAATACAGTAAGATGGTGGTTGAAACCCCACCTCTTTTTAAAATTTGTTTAAGGTCAAACACACAAAAAGGCCAGGGCTCTGATTACAGCTTCCATCATGCCTGTTTTGATCCCTTCTCTCCACTGAGGCTGATGATGCGAATGGAGTATCATCAATGGAGAAATTGCAGGAGTAACAAACTTTATCTTCCTAGGCTACAAGAATAGAGAGAGAGCGTGTCTGTTGCCATGAAATAGCTAGCTTGGGAGACAAGAAACTAGACAAAACATTTAAGTGCAGAAATGTCTTATGGACCAACAGGTTCTGTTGCTGTGAAATCTGGATCATCCCAAAAAAAAAAAGCCAAATCAGGGAAGAATGGTTTTGAGTTGTGCTGGATAAATTTAATGGACTGCAAAAAGAACAAACCATTCAAAACTAGATGAAATAAAACCACTGGAAGCACTAATACTGAAGCTAAAACTTAAATAGGTGACAGGTAAATACAAAGTCATGAGAGAGAAAAAAACCCTGACACTTGGAAAAAATCAAAAACTGTCAAAAGGGCTGTCAGAAAACAAGGTAACTAGATATATCCTTTCAATGAAGACGACAGCATAAGTTTGTAAAAACTGAGAGAAGCAGTTGCTGGCAGACAATCCTCGTGAAATGATGTTCATTGGGTCTCAAGAATGCCTGAATGACCAAAGAGGAACGACAAAGTTATCAGGGAGCAAGGGAACTCGCATAAATACGTTTATACCAGAAGTAATTATGACCCAGGTGATTGCACCGTCATGATTTCTCCCTTCTATGCTCTCCATAATTTTTTGTAAGCAGCTACCTCTACAGTTCAGCCCTCTCGTTCACTAATGACATTAAGCAACGCTTGCGGTGTCTATCTGAAACTGCTGGGCAGAAAGACCCAGTGTATGGCTGGAGAGGCCGGAGCCAAACAACGGATGGTCCTGAGATGTGGCGAAAGCAACACGATAAAATATTGCAGCTCCCTTCTAGCCCTCCCCGCCCTTTTGGCTTTGCCACTGCAGCAAACCGCGAAGGGAGAGGACGTAGGGACAAGAATTGAATTGGTAGGAAGCGGGCGGAACGCCGCATGCAGGTCCGACGGCCGCCACGCTCGTCCCCTTCCCGAGCCTGAGATGCTGCATCACGACACCTGCTCGTTCCCTCCGCGCTATTCTCGCTTGCCTCTTAGGTCTCACGCCGCCCCCGCCCTGCCCCGCCCCGGTCCTCTCAAGAGCCGGAGGGAGCATCCCCCCCCCCCCCCCCCCCCCCCCGCGCGCCGCTCTCTTACCCCCCCCCCCCCCCCCACCCTGTGACGGCGGGGCTGCAGCTGGCG